GCTTTAACATGAATAAAAGAAAAATTAATTCCATACACTGAAAAAAAATTATTTATTTCGTGTTTTGCAAACAGGGTTAGGGAAACACTTCTCTAGCCTGTGTTCTCGGCAGTGAAAGTATAAGATCTGGAGATGGCGCACCCGATTCCCCAATCGATGGAATAGATGTTTCATTGYACGACTATGATATAGTTCGAATAGCAATTACCAGCTTCAAGGACAACAAAGCGGMCGGAGATTACCGGCTTCAAATACGGCGGCGCATACATCAGCTTCTTTGCAAGATATGGTCGGATCAAAGCATATCCGATAATTGGAATCTAAATGTGCAATCAATTACCGTGTAATAAGCCTATAAAGTGTTATCGAGGGTAGTATATGTTGCCCACTGCCAACAAACTGATTGGACCTTATCAGTGTGGCTTTAAAACTGGAAAATCCATCATCGGCCAGATTTTCACCAGGTGCCAAATCTTGGAAAAGCAGATCAGCACTCCCCACCTCTTCRTCGATTTTAAAGCCAATTTCGACAGCACAAAAGGAAGCTGACGTTGGGCAACTTCAAATGCAAACACCAGACAGTCATCGCATTTCCGACTTGGCTCGCACGGAATTAATACCAATAGCAGCCTGGATATACAAAACAGAATCACAACAGGTGTTACTATGTACTGACTAGGCATTTGGAAAGTAAAGTTCTCTCTCTACGAACAAAGACCAAACTAAATAAGTCTCTAATCATTCTCGTCCTGCTATATGGTGCGGAAGCATTGACGATGACATTATCGGATGAGCCGTCGTAACAAGTTTTGCGCATTGGCAACGGCGAACATTGCATTCGATGGATCGATAAACTGTATGAGTTATACGGCGATATTTATATAATTCAACGACACCGGATGTGCTGGCCAGGTCTTGTTTTCCGAGTGGAAGGGAATACTCCAGCTTGGAAGGTTTTCGTTTCAGTACTCGCCGGTGGAAGCAGAGGAAGAGGAAGACATCCACCGTTGGAGCGATCAGGTGGAGAAAGGCGTGGCTGCACTAGGTATATGAAATTGGTGCGAACTAGCGAAAATAAGAATCGACTAGTATTAACTCGGCTATAATCGCACATGCCAGTAAAGAATAAAAATATAAAAGTAAGATGACGCATTAAAATTGGAAGCTAATATAACAAAATTTTAGGTAAACAAGATCTACAATTATCATGTTAACACTTTTTTTATATAATCCCAAATCTGAAAAGTTACCAAAAATTACAAAAATATAGGCCAAAGGTTCTAAGGTATTCAATTTCATATAATAAATTTAAAAACTCTTGCAAAAAGTACCACAAACGTTAAAAATAAATTAATGAATTTTTGTACGAATACTATTTCACGTACGTCATTTTTCTGATGTCCACTTGCAACCTTTAAGCCAAATACAACACTGTAAGCGGACAGCTGTTTTCATAAAGTGACAGCTGTCAGCGAAACAACAATTAAAGGCAACAAACAAAACGAAAGCATAAAATAGAAACAACCTTTTATTAATACTACAAAGAAGTAGGAATGCTAAACTAGTTAAACATAATTAATATCATTATTCTACAATTAAAAAATATGCAGATAATTTTATGTGTATACAAACGACAAAAAGTGGAAAAAATATATAAGTAATGTGAATAAGACAATCGAAATGTAATGTTTTTGTGGTAATTGCCAACGTTTTCCTGTTGTTGTATACGTAATTCTTCCATGGCCATTGATATAGCCATCTACGTTTTATCTTTCCTACGATAAATATATGTGATTGTATTATTCTATGTTTTAATAATTGACGCGGAGGTGCGGTTGCAGCAGAGAAGTGTAATTAATAACAATTCGAAAATAGGTAAATATCATAATATATATACATATTTATACATATGCTATTCTGCTTAATAATAACGTGCCACTTTCTTCAAAATTTAAGACGAACAAAGAACAGCGACGCCAGTATTAGTAATTAATGCTACATATTTGCTGTTAAGTGATCTGGCAATTTGTTGGTGTTAAAACTTATTTCGCATAATCGAACAGCGATCCCCATGGTTTAAAGTTTTAACGCATTACTTATGCCCCAAAAAAAGAAATGATGGATCCCCAAAAAATAACCGAACTGGCAAATTTACTACGTAAAAACGGGGATAAAATATTGAATTCAGAGTTTTCGTTGAAACTATCAGGTATTCAATTTACTTATTTAAAATAATTTATTACAAAAAACTAATGTAAAGCTGATTTCTTTTTTACAAGCATGATTCATTTAATTTTCATTTAAATATAATATAAATTTTAACAAATGTTAATTTTCCAATGTATTACTTTTTATTTACTTTCTTAATTGTTTCGTCTGTTGATTGTTTTGATTTATTTTGAGCGCCACAATTTGACAGTTTATTTTTAGATAAACATATGTTTATTCTTCTAATTTTGTATATTTTTACCAGCACATACAGCATACAGTTACAAAGTTAAATTCAAATCGGTGTTGTGAAGAATGTTAATATGATATATAATTATATATTTATATCAGATGTAATATTTCATAAATAATATTTCGAGTTTAATTAGAAAGATAGCTATTGTAGATTTTGAATGTATGCGTTTTTTCAACAAAAATAAGCTTATAAACTAAATATTTTTGGTTTTGACCTAGTTAAAGTGAATATACTCTTTTCTTAGTCATACTTTACGACATTTACGTTAACTGAAATTAACTTTCATTTAATTTTGGTACTGTGTCGCAATTCGCCATCAGAAAATTTTAATACAAATAATTGCGTATACATACATATAWGTATGTAAGTGCTGATTARGATTTTGCTTTTTCTATTGTCTCCTGCGCCATTATACTTGTGCTTAAAATAGAGCAAGCTCRGAAAGAGCACATCAACTTAGTCGTTATCAGTTACAATTGCTTCTGTAACTAATCATGCAATGCCTTAATGATTTCTAATAATATATACATAAATAATTACATATGTGTGCAATATTTACAGGTTCACTGCTACGCGCGCTAAATGACTCATTTACGCTAATAACAGATGGCGCTGCCGAAATCGGTGCTTCGCCGCAGACCTTCCAAGTAGCCAAGACGGTCAATTCAAGATCGCCTGTGTTCATTGATTTACAGCTTATTTATGATTTTGTACAAAAGACACCGTTACTCTGTATCATACACTATCCGACAGATGAATACTTTGATGGCACAATAGATATCAGTAAATTTCGTGCGTTGCGACGACTTGAAGTACAGAAGACAAATGTACGACAAGTCGTCGGTATACAACGATTACGTGCACAACTGCAACAGCTTATTTGTGTCAA